GAATACAAATATATACGAATGGCGTATAATCTTATTTTTTTATTGTTCTTATCATTCCTATTATATTTCGGAGAGCGTAAATCAGAATAATTACAATAACAAGAGTAATGGCAGACGTTTTCGGTGAAGCGAAAAGGCAACGAGAAGGGCAAAAACTTGAACGCATTTGGTTTGTCAGCGGTATTAACAGAACAACAACTTTGCACGTGCAACACGCTTTTTTATACAGTTCTCTGGAATGTTACTAAAACAGTGAACGAGCACGGGGAACAGGAAAATGAAAAATGGGAACAAAACCTAACTTCAACCCTAGCCCACTCAGTAAATTCATTTCCAATTCTCTGTTTGTTCCCCACTTTTCATTTTCCCGTTCCCCTTGCTCTCGTTCTCTGCTCCCCTTTCCCCGTTTTAGTAACGTTCCAGTTCTTCGCCGTCATTATACGACCACGGCGTGAGACTGCCAAATTTTACGTTTATGGGGGATTTGAACACATGACAGCGATTTTCTTTTCCAAAATGATATACAATTCTTTAGAATTTAACCCGTATGAATATCGGCCAACATTTCGCAACTTAAACGAGATGGACACGAAGAAAGAGCGATAAAGTTTGAAAAAGCGTGAGTTCGGTTTTTAAGTGACGTTTTCGCCGCTGTCGCCGTCGTAGCTGCTGAAGCTCCCGGGTCTCTCCTCATGAAAAGGTTCACTGGAGCAGATGAAAGACGTATTTCCTTACACGAGGAAATTAAATCAAAGAAGCTATTTCTCAGTCACCATATCCTCTAATTTTAAGCAGCTTCCAGAACTTTCCAAATTAAGTTATTTTTCGAGGAAAAAGGCAAATGATAATCATATGACAATTTTCGTCCGTCAAATCTTTCTTTAGAATTTCTTCTACAAAGGAAAAAATAAACAAACAAAACAAAACGAAAAAAAACGTAACAAAATGAACCAAAAAACAATAATTTATCTCCTGTCAACAATGTGGATTATTGCATTGACGTCATCTCTGTAAATTCTTTGAAAATAGAACGATAGTTGAGCGATCGAGATGGCCATGAAAAATGTAAACATAAAACGTCATGACAGGCTATTTAAAGGAGAACGATCGCTAAAAGTATAAAAATTACAGATTAGCTCCCCATAGGCGGAGGCTTAACTGTTCATTTTTATTGTTGTTCTTGAAACATCTAAAGACTTTCATGTGGTAAATTCCGTCGTGGTTTGTTTTACCGTCTACGTGGCTTGCTTCTGAGGGAGCAGAAGCGGGTGCCAGCTTCTCTAGAAGTGTACAGTTTATGGGCATTCGCAGAGGTTTGAGTGATTATGGTTTATTGTCTATACCAAATCCCTGTCAGCTATTGGACATACATAAGGTAATGTCGCACCTTCAGAGTGGGTTTTAAGGTGGCTCGACTGGATTTTTTGGGGTTGATACCTCCCAACTTTGAGCATTAACTACGTCGGCATGAGTAAAGATATGGAAAAAAGGTTACCACAACTGTATTATATAAAGATGAAAATTTCTTATGATCTGGGTTTTATTGCAATCGGAGTCGCCATGGCAACGTAATGACGCCATTACGTTTTTCATGTATCTTTGTGTTTCTCTGTTCCAGGAGTTTTTTCGAGAAATCGCTTAAGGGAGTATGTACCTGCTATAATTGCCTCCATTACGGTAAAGTTTGAGCAAATTCTATGAGAGCGTTTTCGAAATATTTTGAACTGTAGTTTTAAGAATGATAAAAACAGTGAAATAGCATGCTAGCCACACAATTCGCTAATATTTTAAGAAAATGATAAGCTTTGGCAACGAGGCTTCATCTCATAGTGGTTTGACTCCATTGGAAACTGCATATAAAAAAAGAGGGGAATTGCTCTGGGCGATCGCGAGTAAGAAGAATTTTATTAACTTGCATTCAGCTGCTTTTGATACAGTTTTTGGACGTAATTTGGTCCATGCCCAAGAATTTCGCATTTTTCCAAAAACCGCTCGATAATTTTTTTTATAAATTCGACAATCTCGAGATCAATCATCAAGAAATATTCCCTGCAAGTTTCAAGAACATTGAAAATAGGAAAGGCTTTTAAATAGGGCCTCAAATATAACCAATTTTCCCCCCAGATTTTGTGTTTACAAGTGAGCGTCCTCATTATTCACTGGCATTGTTTTCAAGTTTCATATGCACGTGCACAACCAGCAAGAGATATAAATTTGCATAAAAAAGAACTCTCGATTACTTTCCGAAGAAATATCAGGAATATGCTCATAGTTGGCTTGTCGTCACAGATAGCAGTGAGAGCCGAAACGGTGAACGTCACGGCTCATCGTGTAGGATGGAATACTTAATTATCTTACTTCGGGTTATAACATCACAGAAACTATCACAAAGAGTTGCTCTGATGTTATAATGTATCATTAATCTCTTTACCCGGTAATTAGCATATCCCGAAGATTTAACCGAGGGTCCTTTTTGATGCAAATTCTATCTTTTTGCTAAATGTGCACGTGTATATGAAACTTGAAAACAATGCCAGTGAATAATGAAGACGCTCACTTGTAAACACAAAATCTGGGGGGAAAATTGGTTATATTTGAGGCCCTATTTAAAAGCCTTCCATGTTTTCAATGTTCTTAAAACTTGCAGGGAATATTTCTTGACTATTGATCTCGGGATTGTCGAACTTATGCAAAAATTTATCGAGCGGTTTTTGGAAAAATGCGAAATTTTTAGGGATGGACCAAATTACGTCCAAAAACTGTATCAAAAGCAGCTAAATGCAAGTTAATAAAATTCTTCTTACTCGCGATCGCCCAGAGCAATTCCCCTCTTTTTTCGTATGCAGTTTTCAATGGAGTCAAACCTTTATGAGATGAAGCCTCGTTGCCAAAGCTTATCATTTTCTTAAAATATTGGCGAATTATGTAGGTAGCATGCTATTTCACTGTTTTTATCATTCTTAAAACTACATTTCAAAATATTTCGAAAACGCTCTCATAGAATTTGCTCAAACTTTACCGTAATGGAGGCAATTATAGCAGGTACATACTCCCTTAAGCGATTTCTCGAAAAAACTCCTGGAACAGAGAAACACAAAGATACATGAAAAACGTAATTACGTCATTACGTTGCCATGGCGACTCCGATTGCAATAAAACCCAGATCATAAGAAACTTTCATCTTTATATAATACAGTTGTGGTAACCTTTTTTCCATATCTTTACTCACGCCGACGTAGTTAATGCTCAAAGTTGGAAGGTATCAACGCCAAAAAATCCAGTCGAGCCACCTTAAATTTCCAAGAAACTGACCAGTCGTTTTGAACTTCTCCAAACCAGGAAGACACTCCAATTTCATACCCCTTGTCGCATTCCAGATATAAAAGATGAAAGGTGGTTGCAGGAAATACGCTGTTAATTTTACACAGTCTTCGCCTGCACTTCGCACCTTTTAAAACCGATTGTGAGAAAAGAGGACTGTTTTGCAAACTCTTGCAGGTCACACGCACCTACTTTTGAGCGGATTTAAGAATGAAAGAAAGTAAAGAGATTTTAAACAGGAATGAGTACAAGTAGCAGAACAAAAGAGGAAGAAATCGAGGACCAAGCTTAAGAAGGGTGGAAAAGTACACTTTCTGCATGGGGGTTGTCTACAATTGCTTGTGCTGTTCGATTCAATAGGAGGTTTAGGTTTCCATAAAAGAGAACATTTTATCAATCTGTCCAACCAGTGTGTCCATACACATCCATGACCGGTTGTCAGCGTAGACAGTTGGCTTCATCGCCTAATGCAACCTAGCAGTGAATCCATCGAAACATCCATCTACCCAACTCAACTGGCTGTTTCCAAATGGCCAGAACTCAGATCGAAGTAAACCTTCTTTTTTGTACTGATGCGCTCCCCACAAAGTAAAAATAAGCAAAACAGAAAATAAAGTTACAGTCGTTAATGGTTTAGCTTGGGACCAGGCTCCGCATTGGTGGAAAGGGAAAAAAAATTGATCCAGTTTTTTGCCTTTTTTCCCCACTACGGAGCCTGATCCCAGGCTATTAATGGTTAAGTCAAGAGCCTTAAACATCAAAGCTCCCTATTGCAAGAAAGCAGGTCTTAAACATTGTATAACGTTCTAATATTTCAATAATGAAAACGGGAAACTTTTAAAAAAAAACAGGGCGGGATCTAGTCTGCTACGCAGCGGTTTTTAGGGTCGTCACACAACGCTCTTCCCCACAAACTTTGTGGCTGTGTAGCAGACTAGGCGGGATCGGGATTCGGACGTAAAAACAGGCGGGATCGCAGAAATAAGAAGAAAAAACTAGCGGGAAGGCGGGATTTGAGAACCCGGCTATTGTGGACCCTCAGCAGAGGTTCAACTGGATATGGTTTGGTGTCAATACCAAAACCTATCAGCTATTATTAAACATACATAAGGTAATGTCGCACCTGTAGAGCGAGTTTTAAATTTCCAAGAAACTGACCAGTCGCTTTGAACTTCTCTAAACCAGGAAGACACACCAATTTCATACCCCTTGTCGCATTTCAGAGATAAAAGATAAAAGGTGGTTGAAGGAACCTTATGTTCTGTCCATTCAGCTTCAATGCCTAGTGGCTTTATCTCCCTAAACCGTACAGTGGTCGTCGTTACCGTGCATACGTTCCTACTCCAAGTTACATTGACTTTGCAACCATGTATTTCAGACTCTTTGTTGTTTATCACGGGTGTAATTGGTTTGCCTTTAAATAATGAGAATAATACTGCGATTACTTAGTGATTTCCACTGATGTATTTGCAGTGATAGATGAATGTAGAAAGGTACACCACTAAGCCTACAAAACTGTCTAACAACTACAAAAACTGAAACGTGAATTAACGATCAGCAAGCTGACGCCATCTTAAGTAATCCAGCTAATTATGCGCATGCGTTGAGTGCTGTAAAAAGAGTTCTTGATTATCTTGATTAATTCCTGCGGGACCTAAGTCCCATGAATGTGACAATAAGCGGACAAAAAATTTAGTTCGTTACTTAAATTTACCTGTAATTCTGCTCTCGGGCTAAAATAAGTGCTAACATGATTTTGAGCTGTAAAACTAGCCAAAAGTGCAAATTATTACAATAGTAAAATTGCTAAAAATTATGACGAATTACGCCAAAACATTATGCTAGCACAATCTTTAAAAGCCTAAAATCAGGACCACAAAAAGAACATTCAATTTTTTAACATCCAACTGACCTCTATTAAGGATCGAAGAATACGATTTATCCTTGGATAGATATACTACTCTCACCTTTACTCAGGTCAGAAACCTGCTTCGCAGATAAAGCTATTCCAGTCACATAAAGATCCATGACTGCTCCAGCAAACACCCCATTTGCCATTGGCATCTGGACCAAACCTGGAGCATTCCCTATTATGTACTCTGGCTGATAACGACCTAACGATGAGAAGAAATGCTCATTCCATTGGTCTACCAATGCCCCCTCCGTACCATTAACGAACACCTTGATCTTATGCTGCTGACAGGTTACTGCTACGTGATTCCAGGAATTGATTTGTAAGTGAGTGAAAGTGTTGTGTATCGATAAAATGAGTCTAGAATTCTTGACTGTAACGTAAAATAGTTTTCCACTCTGTGACCAAAGTGCCAGTATAGGCCCGTCAACACCAATATACTTTACCCAAAATGCAATTGTAAAGTCACAGGTTGTTATGTTAATGTTGGGCACAGTGGCATAAGAACCATTCTGACTGAAAGTCGCCGCTTTGCTTCCAGGACACCAGCCTTTAGTATGGTTAACGGTACCAAAATACCTGTAAGATCACAAAAACCAATGAATAGAATCTAGCTGTGAATAAAAAGAATTACCTGTCATAGGAACATGCAAGCCACTATTTTACCCTCGAATATAATCCTACGTTATGAGACAAAAATTTAACCGGTCAACGCTGAGTATAATGCCACCTGCAGCAGTCAGAAATGCAAATGCATAAGTTTAAAGCAGTGCTGGATGTGGTGGATGTCATATGAAATGGTCGATCTGAAATTTTATTCAAGAGTTAGAAAAAAGTAAGAATCAAAGAAGAGGTTCTTACGCAAAATCGGTTGAAAAAAAAAAACCGACATCCTAAAATAGGGGTAAGGTATAAGAATCCAACGCCACTTCTTTTCCCGCCCACCCCCGCCCCCAACATTAATTGAACAAACTAGATATGTATAACCGCTACTAACCTTACATCTGAATCACTACCATCTAAAAACCAGCGGCCGTGTATGTGGTTTCCTAACAAAACAAACACGGGAGCCTGCTTAGGATTCGTTACATTAGACTTATTTTGGGATACGAATACGTAAATCGTGTGTAACCTTTATCTTTTTCATATTGTTTTCATTGTTACTTTGAATGAAGAACAAGAAGTCCAAAGACTACTGCAAAGCTGATTTAAAACAACGTATATTGTTTTTCATAACAAACTTTCGGCTGGCCATACCAGCCTTCTTCAGGTTTACAGATGTTACTGAACTTATGTAGCAATCACAATATTATATAAATGGAGAATGTCGCAATAAAAGGGAGAGGCGGAAATGACGTACAACATAAAAACTGGAAAGGAAAAATTCGAAGGATATGGATTACAATAATTCGTCACGGCGGTTTAGGCAATGAGGTTCAAGAGTCATGGCCTTATTAAATGCGACTCCCTGGCCTTTTCTAAACCCACTACTGTTTCTGAACACTTTCTCTCTCACTCTAACCATTCTCATACTGACATACAGTTAATCCCACTAGAGAAAATTCATTCTTCACGTGACTCAGTTCGTAAGGCCAGGGAGTCGCATTTGATAGATAAGGCCATGACTCTTGAACCTCATGGCCTAAACCGCCGTGACGAATTATTGTAATCCATATCCTTCGAATTTTTCCTTTCCAGTTTTTATGTTGTACGTCATTTCCGCCTCTCCCTTTTATTGCGACATTCTCCATTTATATAACATTGTGACTGCTACATAAGTTCAGTAACATCTGTAAACCTGTAGAAGGCTGGTATGGCCAGCCGAAATATTGGTTTAAAAAAACAATATACGTTATTTGAAATCAGCTTTGCAGTAGTCTTTGGACTTCTTGTTCTTGATTCTTTATATTTTGGCTGATTTGATTTCTTTTATAGAGATCCAACGTTTACAACTAGCAGGATCTGCGTCCACATTTTTTGCAGCTAATTTAATCCTTTATTACTTTGAATGCTTCGGGGAGCATAAAACGGAATAATTACAACAACAAGAATAATAGCAGACGTTGTCGGTTACTAATAAGCAGAAAGGGAACGAGAGGGGCAAAAAAGCAAAAGGTTGGTATTGGCAGAACAACAACTTTGGACGTGCTGCACCCCAGGGGGCGGGGGGGGGGGGGTGTTGGGAAGTTACTCCGGAGCTGAATTGACAGGGATGATCGAAGGATTTCGGGGTGTTTTTGGGTAGGAGAATTTTGGCAAGTATTTTTTTGGGTAGCTTAATTTAAGTACGGATTTTTTGTGGTGTTATATCATTTATTGCTTTCTGGATTTTTTTTTTCGGGGGGGGGGGGGGTTAAATGTCGGTCCAGGTTTGTTTTTTTTTTCTTTCTTGGGGGGGAGGGGGGTGTTTTAAGCACAAGGGATTTTCTGAGGTTTCCATTTTTGCCCCCATTCGATCATCCCTGTCACTTGAAATCCGGATTACTTCCCCCCCCCGGGGGGGGGTGCGGCACCCTTTATTTTTCTCTAGAATGTAACTAAAACAAGGAACGAGCAAAAGGAAAGGGAAAATAAAAAATGGGAAAAAAACCTAACTTCAACCCTAGCCTTCTCAGTAACTTGGTTTCAAAATCTCTGTTTTGTTCGCACTTTTCATTTTCCCATCCCCCTTTGTTCGTTCCCTGGTCCCAGTGCTTTACCGTCACGTGCGACCAAGGCGTAAAACTGCCAAATTTTACGTTTTATGGAGGACTTGAACACATGACAACGATTTTTTTTTTTAATTTCGAAACTGCTGTTTATCAAGGAAAATGGAAAATGATAATGATAATTTTCGTTCTTTAGATATTGCTTTAGAATATCTTCTACAAAAGAAAAATAAAACGAAACAAAACGTAACACAATCAACCAAAAAATAATAATATATCTCCTGTCAACAATGTTAAAAAAAAAATTATCTCCTGTCAACAATGTTGATCATTGCTTTTTCCATCTCGCCATCTTTGCAACATCTTTGAAAACAGAACGATAGATTTTGTAAAGTTTATTACAGAGTAATCCAGAATGTTTTCCTGCTTTAGGACAAGTCCTATCAAACACACCATTACTACTTAGGCCTTAGAGAGTGGGGGGAGGAAAGCAATCCTAAGCTGGGAAACAATCAAGTATTTATTACGGTATATAGACGAGTGAAAGTCTAAAACAGTGATTATGTCACATCAGTTTTGTCCTCCTCGCTTAGTTTTGCCAGTTGGGGGAAGGGTGATGGGGTTGGGGGGGTGGTGGGGTTGGGCGGGTTGGGTGTCCAAGTAACCGGGCTGACTTTGATCATTAATAACTTTGAAACGAATAAATAAAATTTACCAACCCAGAAGTTTTTCTGAACTTTAACAGACTGGTCTAATGTATATTATGAATCATTTCCCGTTAAGACTGACTACACTACAACCTCTTTCCCAATGATAAAAAAAAAAAAAAAAAAAACGTTTCTTAAAAGCTTTTTCACCTCTTTTAGTGAAAGTAGCTTAGATAAAATAAATTGTTAAATTTTTGCTGGCTTCGTCGCTAATTTGCCAACTGCAGGCCCAAAAGTCAAGATGGCCATGGAAAAATATAAATATACAACGTCGTGACAGACTAATTGGAGGAGAACGATCGTTAAATGTATAAAAATTACAGATTACTTTCCCATATGCGGTGGCTAATCTGTTTATGTTTGTTGTTGTTATTAAAACATCAAAGGATTTCTCGTGATAAATTTCCGTCTTGATTTGTTTTGTTGTCCACGTGGCTTCTGAGGGAGCTGAAAGGGGATGTCCGCTCCCCTCCAAAGAGGTGACAGCTCCGCTTATGGACCCTGGCAGAGGTTTGCCGCACTAGATATAGTTTAGTATCAATACCAAACCCCTATCAGCTATTGGACATACAGTGTACATGAGGTAACGTCTCACCTGCAAAGGTAGTTTTAAATTTCCGAGAGACTGACCACTCGCTTTGAACTTCTCCAAACCAAGAAGATACTGCAATTTTATATCTCTTGTCGCATTCCAGATATAGGAGATAATAGGTGGTTGAAGAAACATTATATTCTGTCCATTCTGCTTCATCGCCTTGAGGTTTTATCTCCCTGAAGCGTACAGTGGTCTTCGTTATGGTGCATAGTTCTTTTCTACTCCACGTTACATTGACTTTGCAACCATGTATTTCCGACTCTTCCTTGTTTATTACGGGTGTAATTGGTTTGCCTTTAAATAATGAGAATATTACCACGATTAATTGTCCATTTCCACGCATAACGTTAACAAATTAAGTTTGCGTTTTTTAAAAGTTCCAAGCTGCCCTTATATTGTCAAGTAAAGACTGTAAAAGAACAATATACGTATTTTAACATTCAACAGACCTCTATTGAGGATTTGAGACTGCAGTCGAAGAATACGACTTACCCTTGAATATATACTACCCTCACCTTTACTCAGCTCAGAAACCTGCTTCGCAGATAAAGCTATTCCAGTCACATAAAGATCCATGACTGCTCCAACAAACACCCCATTTGTCATTGGCATCTGGACTAAACCTGGATCATTCCCTATGATGTACTTTGGCTGATAACGGCCTAACGATGAGAAGAAATGCTCATTCCATTGGTCTATCAGTGCCTCCTCCGTACCATTAACGAACACCTTGATCTTATGCAGCTGACAAGTTACTGCTACGTGATTCCAGTAACTGATTTGTAAGTGGAAACTGTTGTCTATCGATAAAAGAAGACCGGACTTCTTGACTGTAACATAAAATACTTTTCCACCCTGTGTCCAAAGTGCCAGTATAGGCCCGTCAACACCAATATACTTTACCCAAAATGCAATTGTAAAGTCACAGGTTGTTATGTTAATGTTGGGCACAGTGGCATAAGAACCATTCTGACTGAAAGTCGCCGCTTTGCTTCCAGGACACCAGCCTTCAGTATGGTTAACAGTACCAAAATACCTGTAAGATCACAAAAAACAATGAATAGAATCTAGCTGTAAATAAAAAGAATTACCTACCATAGGAACATGCAAGCCACTATTTTACCCTCAAATATAATTCTACTTTATGAGACACAAATTTAACCGGTCAACGCTGAGTATAATGATGCCACCTGCAGCAGTCAGAAATGCAAATGCATAACTGAGTTTAAAGCAGTGCTGAAACCTGGATGTCATATGAAACGGTCGATCTGAAATTTTATTTAAGAGTTAGAAAAAAGTAAGAATCCAAGAAGAGGTTCTCGCGCAAAATCGGTCGGAAAAAAAAACCGACATCCGAAAATAGGGGTAAGGTATAACAATCCAACGCCACTTCCTTTCCCGCCCACTCCCGCCCCCAACATTAATTGAACAAACTAGATATGTATAACCGCTACTAACCTTACATCTGAATCACTACCGTCTAGAAACCAGCGGCCGTATGCGGGGTTTCCTAACAAAACAAACACGGGAGCCTGCTTAGGATTCGTTCCATTAAACTTATTTTGGGATACGAATACGTATATCGTGTGTAATCTTTATCTTTTTCTTATTGTTACTTTGAATGCTTCGGGGAGCATAAAACGGAATAATTACAACAACAAGAATAATGACAGACGTTGTCGGTTATTAATAACAAAAAAGGCAAGGAGAGGGACAAAAAAGCAAAAGGTTTGTATTGGCAGAACAACAACTTTGGACGTGCTGCATCCGGGGTGGGGGGTTAGAGTACTCCGGAGCTGGATTGACAGGGATGATCGAAAGATTTCGGCGTTTTTTTGGGTAGGAGAATTTTGGCAAGTATTTTTTTGCGTAGCTGAATTTCAGCACGGATTTTTTTGGGTGTTATATCATTTAATGCTATCTGGAAATGTTTTGAAAAGGGGGTGGGGGTTACATGTAGGCCCAGTTGTTTTTTTTGGCGGGGAGGAGTGGTTGTTTTAAGCCCAGGGGAGTCTTAGGTTTCCATTTTTGCCCCCATTCGATCACCCCTGTCACTTGAAATCCGGAGTACCCCCCCCCCCCCCACCACCACCCTGCACCCCCCCATGGGGTGCAGCACCCTTTTTTTACAGTTCTCTAGAATGTAACTAAAACAAGGAACAAGCACGAGGAACGGGAACAAAACCTAACTTCAACCCTAGCCCTCTCAGTAACTTGGTTTCAAAATCTCGGTTTTGTTCGCACTTTTCATTTTCCCATCCCCGTTTGCTCGTTCCCTGCTCTCTGTTCCCCGTTTAGTAACATCCCAGTGCTTTACCGTCACGTGCAACCAAGGCGTAAAACTGCCAAATTTTACGTGTTATGGAGGACTTAAACACATGACAACAATTTTCTTTTTCTTAATATCGAAACTGCTGTTTATCAAGGAAAAAGGAAAATGATAATGATAATTTTGTCCTTCAGATATTGCTTTAGAATGTCTTCTACAAAAGAAAAATAAAACAAATAAACAAAATAAAACGAAACAAAACGTAACAAAATTAACCAAAAAATAATAATATATCTCCTTCCAACAACGTTCAAAAATAATAATAATTTATCTCCTGTCAACAATGTTGATCATTGCTTTTTCCATTTCGCCATCTTTGTAACATCTTTGAAAACAGAACGATTGATTTTGTAAAGTTTATTACAGAGTAATCCCGAATGTTTTCGTGCTTTAGGATAAGTCCTATCAAACACACTATTAGTACTTAGGCGCTGGAAGGCGGGGGAGGAGAGCTATACTAAGCTGGGCGACAATCGGGTATTTACGAAATATAGACGGACGAGTCAAAGTCTAAAACAGCGATTGTGTCACATCAGTTTTGTCCTCCTCGCTTAGTTTTGCCAGTTGGGGGGAGGGTGAGGGGGTGGGAGGAGGGGGGTTGGTTGGGTTGGGGCAGGATGGGTGTCAAAGTAACCGGGCTGACTTTGATCATTAATAACTTTGAAGCGAATAAACAAAATTTACCAACCCAGAAGTTTTTCTTAACTTTAACAGGATTAATAGTCTAATGTATATTATGAATCATTTCCTGTTAAGGCTGACTACGCTACAACCTCTTTCCCAATGATAAAAAAAAACCCAAAAAACGTTTCTTCAAAGCTTCTTCACCTTTTTCAGTGAAAATAGCTTAGAAAAAATAAATTGTTAAATTTTTGCTGGCTTCGTCGCTAATTTGCCAACTGCAGGCCCAAAAGTCAAGATGGCCATGAAAAATGTATAAATACAAGGTCTTGACAGACTAATTGGAGGAGAACGATCGCTAAATGTATAAAAATTACAGATTACTTTCCCAAAGGCGGTGGCTAATCTGTTTATGTTTGTTGTTGTTATTAAAACATCACAGGATTTCCGTCTTGATTTGTTTTGTTGTCCACATTGCTTCTGAGGGAGCTGGAAGGGGTATCCGCTTCCCCACAAAGAGGTGACAGCTCCGCTTATGGACCCTGGCAGAGTTTGCCGCACTAGATATAGTTTAGTATCAATACCAAACCCCTATCAGCTATTGGACATACAGTTTACATGAGGTAACGTCTCACCTGCAAAGGTAGTTTTAAATTTCCGAGAGACTGACCACTCGCTTTGAACTTCTCCAAACCAAGAAGATACTGCAATTTTATATCTCTTGTCGCATTCCAGATATAGGAGATAATAGGTGGTTGAAGAAACATTATATTCTGTCCATTCTGCTTCATCGCCTTGAGGTTTTATCTCCCTGAAGCGTACAGTGGTCTTCGTTATGGTGCATAGTTCTTTTCTACTCCACGTTACATTGACTTTGCAACCATGTATTTCCGACTCTTCCTTGTTTATCACGGGTGTAATTGGTTTGCCTTTAAATAATGAGAATATTACCACGATTAATTGTCCATTTCCACGCATAACGTTAACAAATTAAGTTTGCGTTTTTTAAAAGTTCCAAGCTGCCCTTAATTGTCAAGCAAAGACTGTAAAAGAACTGTTGAGGCCAATCCTCAACAAGAGAACATTTTTTTGTTTTCCTAGTCCGTTCCATTCCGTTTTTGTAATTTATTCTCCCAGCATGCTTAGTGAGCGCGTCTCAGTGTCGTCGTGGAGCGAGAAAGAAACCATGTGCTTTGTAACGCGCTAGTCGCCGGGAGTTTCTCATCGTATGGTGAGTCTTAGGAGCTCGTTTATTTCCAAATCCCTTTCCAGCAGTGATTAAGTATTTGTTTTGTAGGTTTTTACTTGCGAGGTGAAGCTTGTTAGCCAAAGATGAGACTCCAAATTCGATCCTGTTGTGTTGTTGAGGAAATATGCTGAGTGTGCAACTCTCGATTATTAAACTTGTGTTCAGGGACCCTTGTGTTGTGAAAGCGCGTTTTTGTCCCCTGGACATCTTCGTAAAAACCATACGAGCATCTTGCCTGTGATTACTGGACGTCCAAAGTCTTAACTGTGAAAATATTTGTGCGTGTGAATCGAAGTGACATCAAATGTCATGACTCAACGAGGAATTCTACTCGAGCGTTTGGAGGTGTTGGACAGATCTCGAAGGGGATATTTGTCTAATATTACGAAATTGTGTCATCAACTGGATGAAAATCTCGGAGACTTCAGCAACGTCGTCAAGATACGAACCGTGCAAACTAGCCTTAATTCCGCGTGGGAGCAGTATTGTGTTTGTGTTGAGAAATACGGTGATTTACTCGATACCAGCTGTGAAAGGTACCAAAGAGTCTTGAGCGACCGTGCGGTTCAGCAGTCAAGGATACAGGGATACAATGAGAGAATAGATCAGTTTATTGCCAGTGCCGCTGCCCTTTATAATAGCCAAGTGTTAGAAGAAGTGAAATCAATCAAGGAGTGTACCCCTCCAGGATCTGTGAAATCTAATGGTAGTCGTGTCTCAAAATCAAGTGTGTGTAGCTCCAGGTCCCAAAGGGCAAAAATAGAAGCAGCGAAGGCCCTACTTATGCAGCAACAAGCTGAAGAAAGGAGTAAGAAGCTAGTAGAACTGGAGGTAAAAAAGAGTCGAAATGGAGATAAAACGAACAGAACTAGAATTGCAACACCGATTAGAACTCACCAAATTGGAAGCAGAAAGGGAAGTTATGGCTGCTAGAGATCAAGTGGAGCTAGCTAATTTAGAGGCTTTGTTAGCAGAACAGGAAATGGAGGGTATCAAATGGTCTCCAAATCTGGACCTACAGGACTCAAAGCCTCAATCCTCAAGGGTTGGTGCCAATGATGTACCAGTAACCAAGCCATCTCACACATCAACACCAGGATTAGTAAATTCCCAGACTTGTGTGAGTTTTAGAACCCCTACTGTTACAAATGAGGGTACACATGAGACTGTTAAACCCCGTATTCAAGACAACGGCCAGTCGCAACCTGCTGACCCACCCACTGAAGAAACCCCATGCCTCACGAGCACCAACCGCTGTACAGCCACACCCAGTGCTGCTGGTTCAATTAGGAATGACATTCTTGTTGCTATTATGTCTTCAATGGAGAAAATGAGTGCCGCTTATGATCTACCACACGTACAAGTTCAGAAGTTTGATGGATCCCCTGAAAATTACCCAGCCTTTCGTCAGAGATTTAAGCAGTTGGTTGAAACCAGGCCCCTCAGTGATGCTGTGAAAATGACCCGTCTGTTACAGTTCTTGAACGGTCCTGCCCTGACTGCGGTGCAGAGATATGAGCCAATGCCTGGTAGCCTGGCAAAGGCACTCAAGACACTAGAGGAACGGTTTGGCCAGCCATTTCAAGTAGTGAGAGCATGTGTTGAATCTCTTACGAAGGGACCTGCTATACAAGCAAATGATAAGGACAGCCTGCAGCGCTATGCTGATACTGCACAAGTTACCTATGATACCTTAGAGTCAATGGGATACCTTAGTGAGATGAATATAGATAATCTGGAGAAAGTCATCGCGCGGCTGCCAAAGTGGATGCAATCCAAATTTGCCGAACATTTGAAGAATCTCGAGCGTAAGGGACAGAAGATGCCAAATTTCAAGGATGTTGTAGACTTCCTGAAGGAGCGAGCGTTTGTCCTGAGCCACCCTTTCTTTACTAAGTCAGGAACTCCTAAGGGTTTTACCTATTCTTTAACAGCAACAAACCCTGAATCCTGTGCAATGTGCCATCAACACCATCCACTGTACCGTTGTGAAGTATTCAAATCCAAGTCTCAAGGGAGAGAAATGACTTTGTAAAACAGAAGAAGATTTGCTTCAATTGTATCAGCTCAACTAAACACAACTCAAAGAAGTGCAAGTCCTTAATCAGGTGCAGGGTAGAAGGTTGTGGGAAGTCACATCACACATTGTTACACTTCACTGAACCTAGAGACAGAGGGAACCAGCAAAGGGACGGTCCTAACGGTGAGGACGTTAATCAAGGCTTAAGGCCTGATCAAGCCACTATTTCTATGTGCTCCACAGTTAATTCGTGTGAAGTGTTGCTTCAAGTCATCCCAGTTCGAGTGATTAGTAAGTCTGGCAACCAGATTACTACCTTTGGTCTACTGGACTCAGGCTCCGACATAACCATGATTGACCCGTCTCTCGTGAAAATGCTGAACATTAAGGGCTCACCAAGTAAGCTGTCACTCACGACTGTAAATAATGCCGATGCAGAAGAAGAGGGCCTGAGAGTTGACTTCAAATTGCCTCAGTAGATAGCGAGAATGACCATCTGATTGATGTCAAATCTGCCTGGGCTGTAAAGGATCTTACAATTCCCTAAAGCACACAAAGGTGACAAGGTCTGTTGGGCAGTGGCCACATCTGCAGCAAGTGTGCTTCCCGGAAGTAGAGAGAAGTAAGATTTCTATCCTGCTTGGTACAAACATCCAAGAGGTCTTCATACCGCTCGAAGTTAAAAGAGGTAAACCAAATGAGCCGATCGCAATCAAGTCCTGTATTGGTTGGAGTATACTTGGTGGCTGTCCCAGTGTACCTTCTTCCACTCCTGTGCAAGTCAATCTCATTAATGGGGAGGATGTTACCCTAAGTGACCAGCTTGAAGAATTCTGGAGAGTCGAGTCCTATGGTACGAGCAAGTGTGAAACCGAGCCCCTGTCTGTGGAGGACCAAAGAGCTATGAACTTGATATCCAATTCAATCTGTAAACATGATGGCCATTATGAGATGGGCCTCCTGTGGAAGAGTGACAATCCTGTGCTTCCTTACAACAGAACACTAGCTGAAGCGAGACTGCAACACTTAAAGAGACGCTTCCTTCGAGATCCAGAACTTGAAGTCAAGTATAGAGCTGTGATTGAAGACTGTGTGACCAAAGGATATGCAAGAAAGCTCACAAAGGAGGAAGCAGAAACAGTCAGCAAAACCACATGGTTCCTGCCTCACCACCCAGTAAGCAATCCGAACAAGCCAGGCAAGGTGAGAGTGGTATTTGATGCGGCTGCAAGATTCAGCGGCACATCCCTAAACGAACAGCTAATGCAGGGACCTAATCTGACAAATGACCTATCTGGAGTGTTGATTCGTTTCCGTGAGGAAGAAATTGCCTTCTCAGCGGATATCGAGGGCATGTTTTACCAGACCAGAGTATCCCCAAGTGATACAGATTCTCTGAGGTTCTTGTGGTGGCCTAAAGGTATTGACGAGCCTCAGAGGAATACAAAATGTTGGTCCATATTTTTGGTGCTAAGTCTTCACCCTGCTGTGCCAACAAGGCGTTAAGCATGACAGCACAAGACAATGAAGAAAATTACCCACCTGAAGTGATCAGAACAGTTCGTAGAAATTTCTATGTGGACGATGTCCTGAAGTCTGTCCCAAATATTGATCAAGCCGTACCTCTGGCCTCAGATCTTATGAAGTTGTTGAGAGAAGGAGGATTCCGTCTAACAAAGTTTGCGAGCAATAGTCGTGAATTGCTAGCCTCAATTCCTCCCGCGTCGAGGGCGAATCCCAAGTTGGACCTAGATCTAGACCAGTTACCCCTAGAGCGAGCGTTGGGTGTCTACTGGGACGCACAGACAGATACCTTTAAGTTCAAGGCCTTACAAGCGTACAAGCCATCCACCAAGCGAGGAGTGCTTTCTGTCGTAAGCTCCCTGTTTGATCCGTTGGGATTTCTTTCACCCTTTGTGTTCACAGCCAAGATTCTGTTACAAGAGCTGTGGAGGCAGAAGTTGTCTTGGGATCAAGAAATTCCAGAGCCGTATTCGTCCCTCTGGCAGAAGTGGTTGCAAGAGCTGCCGTGTGTTACTACAATCGAGATACCAAGGTGTTACAAGGCCCAGTGCCCTAGTGCACAAGCCACTGTGCAGTTGCACAATTTTTCCGATGCGTCAAGGCATGGTTATGCAGCAGTGTCTTACCTACGGTTCATTGACGAGCAAGGAGTGATCCACAGTTCCTTCGTTATGGGGAAGACCAGGAATGCGCCCATCAAAGAGTGGACTATACCTCGCCTAGAACTGCAGGCGACAGTGTTAGCGGTACGGCTAAGTAACTCAATTCTGAAGGAGCTCGATCTGCGAGTAAATGAAATCCTTTTCTGGTCAGACTCGATGACCTCCCTTCAATACATCAAAAACCAAACGAAGCGCTTCCAAACATTTGTTGCAAATCGCGTGGCCGAGATCCATGAATCAACCACCCCAGAACAATGGCATCACGTCCCAGGTACTATGAACCCCGCTGATGAGGGTTCACGAGGCGTCGCCATAAAGCATTTCCAACCCGGATGTCGGTGGTGGTCAGGTCCTTCCTTTCTGTGGCAGCCTGTACAACAGTGGCCTAATGCTCGGGTGGAAGACATTCGAAGTGATGATAAAGAAATACGAAAACCAGCCACAATCATGTTCACCACTGAAACGTCCCAAGTCGATCTCATACTTAAGCGCTATTCGTCGTGGTCCCGTTTGCTGAGAGTTATGTCGTGGGTGCTTCGCTTTGTCAAGGCACTAAAGAAAGAAAAACCTGAATGTATCGTCGGAGGTACACTTACCCTTGTTCAGCTTCAGCGAGCAAGCGAAGTAATTACGCGACTGGTGCAGCGCCAACATTTCCGTGAAGAGTACATGGCTTTGAAAGAAGGCAGACAGGTGAAATGTAGCAGTAGCTTGGCCACTCTTAGTCCGATCCTAACTGATGGCATTATACGTGTTGGAGGAAGAATTCACCGTGCTCCGATTACCTTTGAAGCCGCCCACCCAGTGATTCTTCCAAAGTCAAGCCCTGTGTCTGTATTGATAGTTCGTTACTACCACCATGTGCTGGGCCACGCAGGCCGTGAACATGTGTTGTCCGTCCTCCGCCAGCGTTACTGGATACTGAGAGTCAGAGCTTTGGTGCGTCAGATCCTGAGCAAGTGTATAAGTTGCCGCAAGCGGAACACGCCTGCCTTACAGCAAGCGATGGCTGACCTGCCAAAGGAAAGGCTGGTACCTTATCATCCCCCGTTCACCTTTACGGGCCTCGACTTCTTTGGCCCCTTCTACGTGAAGCGCGCTCGTAGTGTTATCAAAGTGTATGGTTGCATATTCGTGTGCTTTAACAGCCGAGCAGTCCACATCGAAGATGTTAGTTCCTTAGAAACAGATACGTTTATTTTGGCTCTCCGCCGGTTCATCTCTGTTCGCGGCTGCCCTAAGGAAATCTGGTCAGATAACGGCACGAATTTTACTGGCGCTGAGAGGGAACTTCCGCGTTCGGTTCGAGAACTAAATGAAGAACAAATCAGGAGAGAGCTACATTCGTACGATGCGGAGTGGTTCAAATATGTGTTGCCAAGGTGGCGTTTCCAACCCCCTACCGCGAACCACATGTCAGGCGTGTGGGAGAGGCTTATTAGAAGTGTGCGGAAGGCTATGAATGCTGTCTTGAGCAAACCAGGCGCTGCAATCCCTTTGGAAACCCTGCGCACCGTATTCGCCGAAGTCACGTCCATTCTAAACAGTCGTCCCATTTCCCCAGCAAGTGATGATCCAAGTGACATGGAGCCACTCACTCCAAACCACCTACTTCTACAGCGACGAAATCTCGCCATACCCCCCGGTGTCTTCGCCAAGGAAGAGCTGTACTCACGCAAGCAGTGGAGACATGCGCAATTCCTTGCTAACTGTTTTTGGTCGCGATGGGTTCTAGAGTACGTGCCTACCTTACAGCAACGCCACAAGTGGCTACTAAACAAGAGGAATTTGGCAGTGAATGACCTGGTTCTTGTGGTGGACAAAACTGTGCCGAGATCCCGCTGGTTGCTGGGTCGCGTAATGAAAGTGTTTCCTGGTGAAGATTCACGTGTCCGCACCGCCGAAGGGAAGACAAAGGACTCTTCTCTTACTCGTCCTGTGACCAAGCTGTGTCTTCTTGAAGAAGCTGCGTGACGGGTTTGCCGTAGAGTGCACTGAACGTTGCAAGATTGAACTGAAAACATTGTCGTGAACTAACAGTCGGTTTAGAACTTTAACATTGATTAGTGATTGTCTACGGGGGCTCGTTCAGCCCTACCCCCCCGGGATGTTGAGGCCAATCCTGAACAAGAGAACATTTTTTTTGTTTTCCTAGTCCGTTCCATTCCGTTTTTGTAATTTATTCTCCCAGCATGCTTAGTGAGCGCGTCTCAGTGTCGTCGTGGAGCGAGAAAGAAACCATGTGCTTTGTAACGCGCTAGTCGCCGGGAGTTTCTCATCGTATGGTGAGTCTTAGGAGCTCGTTTATTTCCAAATCCCTTTCCAGCAGTGATTAAGTATTTGTTTTGTAGGTTTTTACTTGCGAGGTGAAGCTTGTTAGCCAAAGATGAGACTCCAAATTCGATCCTGTTG